AAGCCCTAGGTTCAATCTCCACGAAAGGAAGGAAGGGAGAGGAGGGGAAGGGAGGAAGAGGAAGAGAAGACAGGGAAAAGAGGAGAATGGAGGAGGGGAGGAGAAACATGGGAAGGGAGGAGAGGAGCTGGGGGAGGAAGGAACCTCCTCTTTGAAGGCGCATTTCCCAGAGCGCAGAGCTGCTGAGCCATCTAGTGGCCAGGTGCCCACATCGCACTCCCCGGACTCCCGCTGTGCCCACTCCTGAGATCTGACCAGTTGGCTCTTACTGTGGCCTGGGCGAAGGGCAAGTAGGACTGCAGAGAAAGAAGGGCAAATTTCAGGAACCACCTGGAAAACGAGGATGTAGGGCGGACCTCGACAGTGGGCTTAGAATCTAAAGGAGGCAGCTGCCCTGGCCTCATGCCTACCAAGTACACCCCTGCTGGATGAAAGCCAGGGCAAGCTCCCCTCAACGGAGACTTCTCCAGGCATTGGAGAGAGAGTCGTCCCAAAGCCTCTGTAGCCTCTGAGCAACAGTCCGGGTGCCCAAACCCCCTCATTTCAGACTCAGCTTCAGAGCGGCAACCGGGATGATACTAAAGAACTCAAAGCTTCCACCGTGCATTGTCCAGGGCCGCAGACACAGGGAAACCCGAAGACATCCTGAGCAGGAGGGGATGAGGGAGCGGGGAATGGGTCAGCTGTAAGTGGGTGAACTGCGTTCCTCCCACACATGCACTGACGCCCGGACCCCCAAAGATTGCTTACCTGCAGGTTTGTGTTCTGTGACTCCACTCACCCACTATCAGCTGTGGCCTGAAAACACTGTATGAAAAGTTCCCAAAATAAACAATTCATAAGTTTTAAATAACATGTGTTATAGTATGTTGTTATACTTGTTCTATTTTATGAACCACTGTTACTGTGAATCTCTTCCTGTGACTAATTTTAAATCAAACTTCATCACAGAAAAGAATGTACAAGAAATCAGAGGATACATAGGGTTCAGTTCTAGCCTGAGTTTCAGGCTTCCACTGGGGATCCTGGAACACAGTCCTTGTGTATAAGGGGTCTCCTATATTTGAATATATTCTCCAGAGGGGAGACCAAGTTAAAATGAGGCCATGAAGGTGGGCTCTAATCCACCCCTCTGGGGTCCCTACAGTATAGGAAATGATATCAGTAAAGAACTGAAAAAACTCAGGCCGTCCAAATTCAAAGACCCAATCCAGAAATGGGCACCTGAGATGAATACACACTTCTCAGATAAAGAAATATAAATGACAAATAAATATATGAAAAAATATTCAACATCATTAGTCATCCAAGGGATGCAAATTAAAACAATACAGAGATTCCATCTCACCCCAGAAAGAATGGCTATCATCAAGAAATCAACCAATAACAAATGCTGGAGGGGCTGTGAGGAAAAAGGA